ATGCTGCTTATCGCTCTCCATATTTAAAAGGGCACCAACCAAAAACTACTGCGTAGAATTAATTGGAATTTTTCACACACAAGCCTTGCTATATGAGCTCTCAAAGCATATAAAAATTATACGGCTTAAATGTGAAGTTGGGTGCAAAAGAATACAATTAAATCCTCTGTCGGGAAAAAACAAAATGATTTTCCGAACAACACAATAGTTTAATTAACTAAAGAATCTACATTGATGATGCCTCCCAATTTGAAGCGAAACGTCGATGTTGACTTTACGCACAAACACAAACCTTCCAACTCTTAATTGCCTAGGCTTTTACTTGTTCTGAATGAGATTCTTTTCAACATCTAAACATCAGAAAGAGAATGGAAATATTACGTAGTACGTGTGCTTCAGATTTTTTTCAATGCTAAACAAAATTTGCGTTAGGTACCTGCCTACTAAAAAAAAAAACAATTTACATTCTTTGCAATCAAAATAAGTAAGCGCATGTTTGTTGCTGTTTTATTAACCTTTTACGTTTGCACTTGACCTAAACTTGTTAATTTAGTCTGTATTTAAACAGCATTAATGTGGAAATTTTAATTTCTAATCAGTCAAACAACAAAAAAACCCAATAATAATAAGAAAATAACTTTGTATTTTGCTTCCACATGTTTACCGGAAACTTGATAAATCTTGATCTTGCTTGATGGTAAGTTTATTATATTAGGATCTTCCAGACTAATTATTAAGTATTAATTGTTTTTACTTTGAGTATATCTCAGCTGAAATTATAGAGTGGTTATTGCTTTGACTTATTGAGTGGTTTACAATCCCCCACTTGTATCTTTTAACTTTATTACGTAAACTTGATTAATTTAGTAGTAATTCTCTATAACGAAACAATAAATCGCTATCAAATATTATAAATTTTGTTTATATTATCTATATTATAACTGAAAAAATGAAAAATAAACTGTCTATTGCAAATCCGACTTATAATAATTTGGGTACAAAAATGGCCATTTTGTAATCACATTTCACAAACGTGTAACTTACGCTATTAAATATTCTCTATGAAATGGCATTCACCTTGACATTGAAAATAATTAAACACTTGCGACTATTACGTTTATATGTATATGAGCGAATTGCATCATTAATTACCTGACTAAATAATTATTGAAGCATGTGCGGGTAATCTAAAATACTGCAATTAAAATATATTACGTATTATGTGTAGTTAAAAAACACGTGAATTCCATAATAAAAACGATATTTGAATATTTGCAATTAAAGATTTATTAAAGCAGAGTGCAAAAAATCCATTTAAATCGTGGTAAATACAAAAATATAAATAATGTTTTGTTTCACTATTCAGTATTAAAAGTTTGATTTGTCAAATTCTGTTTTTTCTTGTTTTTTTATGCTCTGTATAAGAAAAACTTGTGGTATAGCTAGTTCAAAATCTCATGGGCCAGAGACGGACTTAATTTCATTCATATTGTACATTACGAAAGCATCTTAACCATGTAACCGGGGATGGAACTCCAGATAAATTGTAATCAGTGTCTATCAACGTTTTTAATAAAAAAAATGAATGGACTGACAACATTATCAAGATAAAAACTACTTAAAATGTTACTGATTAAATGAATTATTTTCTTTCATTTGTATGCTGTCCGTTTAATAAAATAGCATCCCATGGCAAAAATAGTATCGCATCAGGAATAACTGTCAGGTTAGGATCGTCAGTCCGAAGACTGGTTGGACACGCTCCTCCACTCTTTGCTATCCTAAGTTCTAATCTTCGCATTTCGCTAAAACTGGAATATCCCACATCCTTAATTCTTTGTGAACAGTAATCTAATCTAGGTCTACCTCTACTCCTTTCAATTCCTGTTTCTGCTTCTAATAAATCTCTAACTAGTCCTTCATACTTAAGAAGGTGTCCTATCAAGCTATCTCGCCTATTTTGTATTGAATTTCATAGCATCCCTCTGTTCTCCTACTCTTTCTAATACCTCCTTATTTCTAACCTTCTCCATCCACGGTATCCTCATCATTTACCTGTAACAGCACATTTCGAACGCTTTTAACCTTTTCTTTTCCGCGTATCGCACCCATACAGAGCCGTACTTCACCTTCTACTACTAAACCATTAACAATATTTTTCGAATTTCTAAATTAACCGTTCGCCAGCATAAAAGTGAATTCTTTTCGCTAAAAGCAACTCGACCCTAGGCTATCCTAGAATTATCTGACTTCCTAGATACCAAAAATCAGCGACTACTTCAAATATTTCGTCTCCTATTTTTATATTCACTCTTTCCCTACCTTTTCTTCCCTTGAATACCAATATATTTATTTTCGTACTACAGCTTCCATCTTATTTAAGACTTTAAATAAATTTTGTTAAAGTTAAATAAATCCAGTTGTATGGGTGGATACTTTACGTAATGCATATTTTTCAAATGCCATATGTTGTAAAAGGAAAAGAAAACTGCATTTATGTAACTTTTCCACTGTGAACGTTCATAACCGAATATATTAAAATATTGACATTCACATGTGCTTGTAAAATCGTATAGGAAATGACGATTTTCCATAATTAGTAAATAAATGCTCATTCGGCAACCGTATTCCGTTAATATTAATGACTTTTTTATATGGTTAGAAATATTTATTTAATCTGAATGTTGCTTTGTCATTTTATTAATATTGATAAGCGTTGGAAACGAACAACTATGAAAAGTCTGAATAATAATGATGACGGAAGTACACGAAATATGTATTAGAATATTTAACACAAATTTATACTTATAATTTCAGAAACAGAAAATATATTTTTAGAAATTTGAGAAAAAAAAAAGAGTTGAAAGATAAGAGAAATAAAAGTTAATCGCTTCTGTATTCGTGCAGGGTTCATTTGAACATTTAAAAAGGATTATTAAAAGTGCGGCTCTTGACTTTTTTTCTGCATATTAG